TATCTCCATTCCTGATCTATATTTTGGTTTAACCTATTATGCTTTATCAATCAGAATTCATTTACTAAATTCAAATCTCTTCCCCTTTTCTCTTTTTCCTGTTTATTGAATCCAAATTCACAAGCACCTGTTGAGCTGAACAAATTGATTCCTCAATTATACAAACTGAACATTGAACTACACCTAATGCCATCACTTGATCATTCGCATCCCAAACTGACTAGGCGTACGAATCACACTAAGAACCCTACTGATTTTATGCTTTCCTCATTGAGTAGAAAATATCAAATAGTAAAAGCACAACAAATCACCATCAAAACTGCAATTATCCATCGTTTCCCTAACAAAAACCAAAAATGCCCACAACACATTACATCCAATATTGAAACCCAGAACGGAAAAAGTTGCACATAACCTAGAGCAGCCCACTGTGCAGATTTCAACTACGGAATCTCGTTCTAAATTTAGTTCAATTAAATCATACCAATCACCGGAGAAATCCTAGAGTCTTACTAGATATCATTAACAAACAATCTTTCTGCAAAAAAGATTTAAAAAATCGACCTCAAAAGCTTGCTCTAGACACGGACCTGAACAAAGAGAAAGCAATCATGGCATACCCAAACCCGTATGAACCTAAAGAAGCCAATTTTTTGTGTTCCTCAAAATATTAGTTTGAGAATGCAACGGACGAAGAACCGTAGGTCCACAGTGAATTTTATTGGACAAAACCTTAACACCTTACATGAACGCCGGCGCCGGAGTAGCTTGTCAATACAACCAATTTGACGATGATGGTTGTGTCGGCGGAAGGAAGGGGAGTACAGTGCAGTGCGAGGGAGGTTGGAGAAAAGCGCGAGGGAGAGGGGAAGAAGGTGTGCCCTAATTTCTGTATTTGAGATTTTTGGGTGATGTCTTACCAATGCGTGTTTATATATATATATATATTTGTAATTTTTTGAAAATTTCAAATATTAAATTTAAATGGAAAAAAATAAATTAATATCATTAGTTATGAAAATTAATGGTAACTAATATTATTTCAACCAAAGTTTTCCTTCTTCTTAATTGTCACGTAAAATTCTGTATAACAACTGTGCCTGAAACGTTGACCGAACAAAAATTATTTTGTCACAGTTTTTATCGTAACCAAAATATCTATTTGTTACAATGATATTATTACGAACCCTCAGCCCGTGGTTAATACCCTGTTTTTTGGTAGTGGTATTAGGTATGGGTTTGACACATCTTACAATGTGTGGACTTGGCATTGGGAAACAAGAGGTGAGACGACCACTAGTAACTTAGTTGGCGATGTGATGACTTTTTAACGGGAAGATGAACTAGACTTGCTTCTGCAGGAGTGTGCTATCTCACATAATGTAAACCCTGAGAATAATCATGCAAACATAAATGATGTGGATCCTGAAGATGAGTTAGAGAGCAGTACGAAAGGATTGAAAGATATATTAGAATATCTGTAAAATGACCTAATACCGGGATGTAAAAAATTGAGTAGGTTATCATTTATCGCACGCCTTATGCATTTGAAGGTTTTGTGTCAATGGTCAAATAAATCATTTGAGCTCCTTAACCTTGTTAAGGGATGCTCTACCCGATGATGTGGTGTTTCCGAAGAACTACTACGAGCCTAACAAAATAACAAAAGAGTTGGGGTTTATTTGTAAGACTATAGATGCATGCATGAACAATTGTATGTTGTTCACCGGAGAAGATGCAGATCTTCAAGCTTTCGTTCTATGTGGTGAAAGGAGGTACGTTGAAGGTAGCTCCACCATGTTAGTAAAAACGATGAGGTACTTTCCGTTAATTCTCCGATTGCAACGAATGTTCTTATCCTTGAAAACAACAACATCAATATGGTAGCATGTTGAATCTCATGTTGATGATGGCGTTTTTTGGCACCCGGATGATAGTTTGGCATAGAAAAGGTTCGATATTCGAAATCCTTTATTTTCGGGTGACATTCGAGCGTACGATTGGGGTTGCCGTCCGATGGCTTCAACCCTTTCAGTAAAATGAGTGTTAGTTATAGCATATAGCCAGTGATGCTCGTGGTCTATAATCTACCACCAGGGACATAAAACAACCATCCTTCATCCTTTCTACAATAATTGATGGTCCTAAAGGGCCGGACGATCGGATCGATGTGTTTCTGCAGCCTTTTGTGACTAAATTGAATGAATTATGGGACATTTGATGCAGTAAGTGAAGAGCATTTCCAAATGTGTGTCGCCTTACTATTGACAATTAGTGATTTTCCAACTTATGCTATGTTATTTGGATGGCCAACCCGCAGGGGAAATGCATGCCCCAACTGTGGTTGGCGGACACACTTAGCTTATTTGAAGAATGGGCACAAAGTTTGCTGCTGTGGCCATAGGTATTTTTTGCCCGAGGGGCATAGGATACGACGTGATCGGAATTCCTTTGATGGAACAATGAACTTCGAGGCCCACGTCATGCGCATAATTGTTGCCAAGTTACATGATCAGTTGAGGGATATTTCTACTATCTACCGTAAGGAGGATATGGTTGCACAACACGTGGCTCAATTATCTAGAAAATGACGTCACGGTGACCAAAGAAAAGCATCCATATGGAAGAAAAAATAAACATTTTTTTTAATTACCATATTGGATTGATCATGATTTACGACATAATCTTGACTTGATGCACAATGAAAAGAATGTTTGTGAAAATGTCTTGCATACTTTGTTGGGCACTAAGGGGAAGACAAAGGACAACTTTAGTGCGATGAAGGACTTGCAATTGATGAATATATAAAACTCTTTGCATCCAGTGTCCAAGGCTAATGGTAGAGTTTATTTACCGGCTGTCGTATACACCATGTCGTCTTTTGAGAAAGAAATCTTCCTATCAGTTTTAAAAAATTTGAGACCTCCGGATGGTTTCAGTTCTAATTTATCTCATCAATTCAAACTTGAACAAGAAACAATATGGGTTTGAAGAGCCATGATTGCCACATTCTCATGTAGCGAATCCTTGGTGTTGCAGCCTGATGGTATGTTGTGCACTTCCGAACCCATTATTTTTGTACTATTGATACTATAATGGTATGACTTTGTGGCAAAAAATACTTTCTATTCTTGTAGAGCTTTGCCCAAAGACGTTGTATTGTTAATGGAACTATGTGTCTTCTTCAATCTAATGTGTTCAACAAACAACACACTACGTGATCTTGAGAAGCTTCAAGATAGAATTACTCTGACGCTATGTCACTTAGAGAAAATTTTCCCATCTTTTTTTTACGACGTTATGGAGCGTCTTTCTATTCACCTACCGGATGAGGCAATGCTTGGAAGACCTGTTCAGTATAAGTGGATGTATCCAATCAAAATTTATTTAAGTACTCTCAAAAGATATGTATGGAACCATGCGAACCCGGATGGTTCAATTGCATGAGAATACCTCATAGAATAGTGTATGACATTCTGTTCGAGATATCTTGGAGATTTAAAGACTAAAGAGAATCGAGGAGTGAGAAATGACGATCTTGGATCAATGAGAGGGCGTGGTCTTTTTGGGACCCAGTACAACCTTGATTTCATCACTTTGCAACAAATACATGAATACATATTAGACAATATGGAAGTTATTGGTCCACTCAGAAGGTATGTATCTTCAATTAGTACTATATTGGCTTATTATGGGTGACCATGTCTAAACTCTGTGGGGGTGCCTATTTCTTCCGTAGTGTACATCTTGAAAGTATTAAAATAATGTGACCCAATGCAAGTCCACGAGAAGTGCAACAGATCCACGCTAAAATATTTCTATGGTGGTTTCAAAATATTTCCAGGGTGATGTTCATGTACGTACATGAACATCACAATTAAAAATTTTGGGTACAATAAGCATTGAACACATTTAATGTGGATGGAAACATACTTAAATTGTGTATAGGTAGAGGATCCTACCCACAATTTCGATGGCAAAATCACTGCTTATATGAAGACATCAGCACAAGGATCTTGCACACACGCAACAAGATTCACATCTTGCATAATCTCTGGAATCCGTTTTCGAGTTAAATCAAGAGACTAAGGAAAAAAGACTCGATGTGCTGGTGTGATGGTCAATGAGGAGACCATGAGCTACGCAAGTGCAAGAGACCCAAATCCTCCTGCAGGTTCGGTCGCATATTACGGGTTAGTAACTGACATTGTAGAGGTGGAATACAATAATGAAATCCGCTTCCTTCTATTAAAATGCGACTGGGTGGACCTAAAGAAGGGTGTTATGGATGATGAATACGAGTACAAGATGGTGAAATTTCGACACTTGATGTACACAACAAATCTCCCAACAAATGAACCATTTATCTCAGCTACGCAAGCAAGACAGGTTTGGTACATCATCGATCCTATAGATGAAAACTGGAGCATTGTTGTTCCAATGTCTAGGAGAGATACCTATGATGTTTACACGACCATGGATGATAATTTCAGCTCAAGGTTTATCCTTGATGGTGGTTGCACTTCTAGGAGGTGGCTGATTATTGATTGAGGGAGTCTGTAGAGAGGATACTAGTGGAAGGTGAAACAAACATGGATGCAGGCACTAGTCTAGCAGGGACGGTTGAAGAGGATTCGTATGAAGAATCAGACTACACTTCATTTTAATGGAGTGTATTCCTTTTTTATGAAGTGACTTTTTGGAACCCTCCCAATTTTTTGGAGTTTTTGGTTGCATTATATTGTTGGGAGGTAATATATACGTAGTAGATATAGGATACCACAATATCATAAACCGACTTTCAGGTACCTTCCTGTTTCTTAGTTATGTTGATACAATAAATTATCAATCGTGTTTAGTGTCATTCCAGTGTTGTGATATTGGATGTTCCTCTATTTACATGCTCTATATATATTTTTTTTTGGTGTTATAATTCTGTTTACACACTGCATCTTCACCTATGGACATCTTATAAATGCATATACCATTTCTTATTTCAGGTAATGGCGAAAACCAGCTGAGGAAAAGCAACTACTTCTCAAGATCTTGTCAACTCACCATTGCGCCGTGTCACTAGGGCACTTGCGCGTGCCACTCCATCACCGTCGTCTAAGGCTGTTCCGAATAAATCTTTTCCCTTGAAAGTGGTTCCCGCCAAGAAAAATACAAGTACTTGAACTGGGGCGCACGTATCACCTATGCTGGACCGATTACGCTTGATTACCGTGGAGTGGAAAAAAAACGTGATGTCAGGTCGCCATCAACTACAACTCGGTCCACAGTCTGTCGAAGTATTCTCCAGGAATCTCATGCATTGGAGGAGGAAGAGGTGCACCCTTGTTCTCTTCTCTATTTATTAAAGTACGAATATTTAAAATGCTAACTGAAGATTGTCATAGTCAAAAGAGGGCAATAAGAGGATAATGAGAAAATTGGTCCAACTGAAGATTAGGTTCCAACTAATTACAATATTGATGACAACGGTGAAACACGTGAAATAGAGGCCGTGCAACTCCGGGAAATATTAGGCAATGACATTCGCGAAGATGATACAACAAAAGAGGATGATGGTACTACTACTTCTATATGTTGTGTTGATTTATTTATGGATTCATTCTCACATGAATATATAACTACAAACAACTATATTGGACACCATGACTTGTTGTAGGTCCTCTTTCTAAAAAGAAAACTGGAAGAGGTGCCACGAAGATGCCTCGTGGTTGGGGTGGTGACAACCCCCTCCTTGTATTTGTGTCATACGACGGCAAGCGGATAACAGGTACCGATGTTCATGAATACGATAGTGCTCTTGGGGTGATAGCAATAAATGGACTACGTCTTCCCCTTGACTATCCGACATTTCAACAGATCCCAAAGACAACTAAAAAGGAGATCTGGGCTGAGGTACAGGTACGAAGTGGATCTTGAATGTTTCTGTCATTGTACTTAAAGTTACATTAGCCCGATCTCTTCTAGTCTAGGTGAAACATTACTATTTGATGGGGTCAATTATCTTTAGAAAAACTACGCGCTACCTGATTCTGCTGAGAAGGTAGTGCTCTCTGACCTTAAAGACGTCTGGCGCCACTAGAAATACAATGTGAAGGCCTCACACTTCACTCCAATAGAGAATGATGAAGAGGCCTTTGAAAATAGCTCCGAAAGAGCGAGTTGTTGCAGATCAGTAGCCGTTGCTAGTGCACTATTAGAAAGACAAAAAAGTTACAGTACGTGCTCGACGAAGTACAATTTTTCTTAGGATTTGTTACCGGACAAATCAAGTGCTCACATGTATGTTCTTTGTAGGATATTGCTAGCAGTAATGCGGCAAATGTAGTGAAAAGAAGTTTTCCACATAGAACGGGCAGAAAATCATTTGACGTCTTCGCTGAGGAGGTTTGTCTCTACATTATTTTTTAGCTTAACAGTATAAATCTTGTTGCATGTATATGCCATTGTCTTTCCTTTTTTTCCTTGCATGAGCATTTTCAGTAAGGCAGGGGTAAATGTACTTGTAGATAAAGGCCAATGGCAAACAACCCGATAGCTTGGAAATTTGAATGGCATCTCGCACCAAGGGACAACAGGTCGATAATGAGACGACTGATGATATTTTAGTAACAACAACTATTTGTTAAGAACAACATAGTTTTTTGTGTTTTCATCCCTTACGTGATGTAATTACATTTGTTTTCAACTCACTGTATTATGCAGAAATATCTCAATTCTGAACTCAACAAAATCCTAACAGTTCAGAGAAACGTGTGGTCAGTGAATGAGTGATGCTAAGCTTCCCTACACCAGGTTCTGGCGTAGATTGGAACACGTGTTTGTTTGAAATTATGTTGACGATCGTAAGAAATGTTTTGGCGTAGATTGGAACACGTGTTCGTTTGCTCTCCCGAGGATAGGAGAAACGTGTGGTCAGCGAATGAGTGATGCTAAGCTTCCCTATACCAGGTTCGTCTGGACTTCATATTTCTGCTTTTGATTGTGTAACTATAGAGCGTGAAATGGAAGTAGAATGGTTCTTGTGTAATATTGTCATATCTAGCTTTTAATTATATTGTTGTGGGGCAGGTCTATTTGGGTTTAAGGTAGTTGTATCGTCGAATGGTATTTGTAGGGCTTGATTGGTGGTTATTTGTTACTATTGGAGAGACTGCTCTTTTTATTTTGTTTGCCGGAGGTTTGCCACCACATGGAATTTTTTTAATGCTTAAGGCTCGGCCAACATTTTTTCTGATTATTTATAATTAGTTTATTGGTGTTAGGGGAGTTGTTTCGTAGTTCCTTGTTGTGTTTTTTATTTTTATAATGTTTGTGGGTCAACCTACTTTATTAGTGCTTTCAGGTTTAAACATTTCTATACTTGTATTTAAGATAGGGTCCTAGATGAAGATAAAGCGTAACTTTCATTCTATTACGAAGTTCCAAGACCTACTATTTTCTTGATATATTTATATATTTTATTATATTCATCCATTTTGTTAAAAGAATTGCACCTTTCTCATAACTAGTGTTTGTTTTACGTATTTACATAGGCGATACCTTAGCCATTGTTAAGGTATATGGTACAACTGTAATGGTCCCGGAAACCGCACTTATCCTTCTAACTAATGCTTGAGCAAAGATCCTCAGTGAGGTGCTCGACATAGATAATATCGAGTGGACTTACAAGAATGTTTGCACTTTTATTTATTTTATTCTTTTGGGAATTAAATTACTTTAATTTCCGTAATAAATGCTTATATGTCTTTGAAAACACATTGCAGTTGGTTTGCCGCCCTTGATTGCCTCCTCCTTGATTCTGCATTCAATGAGCTAGGTTATTCGTAGTTGTGTTAGTTAGTTGCCTATAAGATCGTCTTGTTGTATGATATGGGATTGTTGGCGTAAGCAGGTTGAATTTTGCTATTTTGTTATGTTGGCATACGGCTTGGTGTTTTATTTGGGATGCTTTAAAGCACTATTGATGCCTAATATTCTATTTTTCTCAGAACTATGAACATTGTTGGATTGATGTTGTTGTGTAGTATGAACATGGATTTGGGACATAAGATTATGCTTTAAATTACTTATTACGCAGATTAATCTGGACAAATACTTTAGACAACAGGAATGTATTTGTGGCGACAAAACTGTATTTCATACAGGGACACCTTTTGTAGTGTATTTTTAGTTATAGACATTGGCCAGTACAAATGGTGTTTTATGGTTGCTTGACTTTTGTACCTAGTTTTTTCTTACAGAAAAATTTTGTAACAAACAATTTATTTGATACAGGGATCTACTTTTGTAACGCATTTTTAGTTACGAACAAAGTATGCAACAACAAATTTTCTGACAATATCACACATTTGTAATGGATTTTTTGTTGCAGACATACATCATAACAAATATTTCTATGACAGAATTGAACTTTTGTTCTGCATTATTTGTTACGAATATATATCGATCCAAAAACATGATCGATGCTTTTTTACATACAAAAAACGTTACAAATGTAATTAACATGTACTTAGTTTGAGGGTTAACCACCGTTATTTGTTACAAATTTTGTTGCAACAAAGACTTTTTGTACCACGATTTTTCGAAGCGGTCAAAATCTGTAACAGAGTCAACACAAAAAACTATTTTGCACGAAAAAGGGTTTTTGTTACAAAATTTTGACCTTTGGCAGTATGTATATATATATATTTATATTAAGTATAAAAAATATGTCAATATTATAAGAAATAATTTTTTTTTATTGAATTTTTGATATTTTATGATTATGTAAATTGTACATATTATCTCAATATGTAATTTATTTTAAGAAATACAGTATTTATCAAGAATCATATTATTAAAATTAGGTATTAGATGACCATTATATAGAAATAAAAAAATAGAAAAACAATAACAAAATAAAAGGGCCAAAATAGAAACAACCGATTTAAAATACTTAGATAGGCTAAACAGCATACGATGACAGTGTTGAGAATTTTGGCTGTTCAAGATCTAACTTAACCCCTCGGTAAATAAAATGAATTGGTACATTAGCCCACCGAATTTGGCCCAATCCCTTTAAATTCGGCCCAATCCCTTTAGTCCATATCCAAGCCCTTTAATCCATATTTTATCCAAATTAGGTGAATAAATTTGTTGATTTTGGTGAGGCGATTTTACCAGACAAAACCGAAGAGAGAGGGTGTTAGTTTCATAATTAGAATTGAGAAGCCGATTTAGAGAGCGGACGGAGAGGGAGAGAAACTACTAGTCTTCGGTGAGGTTTTCCGGTTAGTGATTCCGGTAAGAGTCGAACCTTTTCGATAGCCGATTTCGGTGGGTGTCGAAGTTTAGGGTGAGAGCCGGCCTCTACTTTGCGGTCGTGGTTACCTCGGGTCATTCTCGTACTATGGACTGAGCCGAAATCGAAATTCAACCATCCCTTCCCCGGTGAATGAATTGTTGTCGTCCAAGTTCTCCCGCAGTCCGTTCGAGTGCCTCGGAGAAAGGAGAAGATATGATGTTTCGGTGTCAATCGGAGAAATTGCCACTGCTATTGATCTTCTGCCGGAGTTCCTGACCGGAGAGTTGTTGTCGTCGCTGGCCGGAGCTGCTGGACGTTGTCACTCGGAGGAGGTCGGCGGCGGTGGAAATTGAAGAAGTTGTAGAATTTCTTTAAAGAGATAAGAGGAATACGATTACGCTTTCTAATTTCATAATACAATTAAACTGAATTGATTTTACACTTTTCTAAATATACATATATATATATATATCATATTAAATGGGCTATAACAGTGGACCTTAGTTAACTAATGTGATATAATTATATAGAAAAACCCAAAATATTAACTATTTTCTTTTAAGTCCAGCAAACAACGTTCTCATCATTATCCTCCATCAAAATCTGATATAAAAAGAAAGAGTAGTGCAATTCCCAATTTCGAATTGAACGAGCAGGAAAGTCTTGCCTTTCTTTAATTTAACATTAGGGCTGTTGGTTTTGTTTTAATTTTCAGAAATTAATATGCTTTTGTTTAATTGTGATTTCTTTTTCCGTTTTGGTATTAAGTTGTTTGCATTTATTCGATTTCGCCGTATTTTTTATACAAAATTTGTTCGATAAATCTTAAAAATATTAAGGAATAAATTCACAGCCGACTGATTTATACTGTTTGTTCTTTTATCTACCATACTAGTCTCAACAAGAATTTTTATACCTGTGTTTTACAAGAAGAATACAATATTATTTTTCTGACAATGTTTAAAAAATAATAAAAATTACATCCAAGATACTTCATAATTTACAATAATTAACAATAAAAATTCTACCATTCCTAAAATACTAAAATAACAACCATACAACCATAATATTATCAAACAGGGTGTTGAAATTTCATTGATATTAGCAAGTTGGTACAGTGACACTATATATATATATATATATATAGCTGACCCATTCCATTCATTCTTGGCCCAAATATTGGTAACGGCAAGCAACGAAAGTACAACAATTATGATGAACAGTAAAATTTGCATACATAACACAAACAAATCATTATTACTTTCACTACCAAAAAAACTGTTTTCTATTACGGCCGGAAAATCGTAACAAAAAGCCATATTTCGTGCAATTTGCGTATTTGCTACGCCTTTGTTACGACTTTTTTCCGTAATGTGTACTCGCGTAACGAATGTTTTTTGCCACGCCACTTTTCGTAACTATTACGATCGGTCAACGCTCCCTGAAGTATGGTATTTGTTACGATGTTTGTTACGAATTTTCTCTCGTAACGAAAGGTAGATCCTTCCGCGCGTGTGGCAGGACTTTTAGTTACGGTATTTGTTACGGAAGTTCCTCGCGTTACAAGTGTTTTCCATTGACCGGTTGTCAGAACTTGGTTTTTGTTACGACTATTTGTAACGGCATTGAACCCCGTAAAAAAAATATTACCTACTTATAGTCACGAAACCGTCTGTAACAACAAATATCCAAAGACCACTTTTTGTAACAATTTTCTGGCCTTTTGTTACGGAAAAATAGCGTATTGTGAAAAACAGGGGGTACGCTGCAATTGAAATTGTTCGTAACAAATGGACCTGCTGTGATGCGTATGATACGAAAATAAATTACGAATACAAAGATTGCTATAAACATCATCATCATTACGCCCCGCGCAAACATTAATTCATACTAAAATCTGAATTCCATACCTACCAACAAAGTAAAGCAACCCATAGAACAAGCCTACTAGTATCTACACATCAACAACCTGTTCCGCAAAACGTGCTTAACAGTTCAAACAGAAGTAAACAACGCAATAAGCAAATACGGTTATCCATCAATCCCATTAGGCACATTTTTCACCAAACGAATTCAAACCACAAAGGTCTACGCATCAATTCCAGACATAGTTCAACAAAAACTCAACACAATCCATCCAAAGACAGGTTCGACATTCAATCCATATGACAAACGGGGCAATTAACATGGGTGTATCGGTACCAACATTTCAAGCCCGGCGCATGAGCTGCAATTGCCAACACAGAGATTACTTTAAGTCATACTTCTTATAAATTTCGGAAGGCAATACAAGAAAGGTATTAAAGTAGATCCTTACGTCGTTGTAGCTCCACTCAATAGGATCTTCGCCGACGACATCGCGAAGGGTAGTCGCCCCAGAAATGGTCGGCAAAATAAGGGGTGTGTCCGGGACTGACGCGGATGTCACGAAGACCTTGACCAAGGAAAGTGTGTCACCTACAGCATTCACAAGAGCAATTTTTGATTACATTCAAGCATATATATCAACAGACGTTCGAACTGTATATATAACATGTCATAACACAGACATTATAAGTGTAATACTTTGGAACTAGAACAAGAGGAGTACGTACATTCAGACATGTCGTACAGTACATGGTATTACATTCATGAGTTAGGTAGCGAAGCACATTATACCCTAATTTCCTATGTAATTGCAGCTTGATCTTTAAACCAAACATCCTTCAATAAACATGGGTCGTCATAATAGCAGTTATTTTACCACCCCTACATTAACAGTCTACATCGCTTTGGAAATCCACGGATCGTATCATTGTATACTTCTACACTTAGTGAATCCATGCTAATACGCAATATGAGGCCTGAACAGTCACGAAAACCTACGATATCTCGCTGAGGCATATTAAAAGTTTAATTAAACATCCTCAAAGATACCGGACCAACCTGGCCCAGGGGGGCAGAGCAGAAGTCCCTCTGCAACAACTTTTTTCTCACCGGTGCGGGATAATAGAAGCACATGTGTGCCGACCTACAACAGACAGGGCATATGAGTTGGATAAGGTAGTACGCAGTCAAGAGTAGCCTAAATTAGACACTGCACTGATTTCTAAGAAACTCCAGGGCGTCACGGAATCATACCGTCATGCTTGGCTCGGACACAGGCCTGGGAATCTCAGGGACTGAATCAATACGAGATGTGCCCTATCATATAACATGCCGAGGATGGTAAATTCCTTCGCCATCCAAATCTCATGGGATACTCATACCAAACAGGTCAGGGATTATGAATACTTACTGCCTGGCCAGTAACCGCTCCGGAGTTTCTGTGCATGAATGCATACACATCAGCCTTGATGGTTTTGAACTCATCCATCATTGCCTTCAGCTCCTCTATTCCATTCTGTAGTTGTTCCCACCCATGCTGGAATGCTACACTGTCTGTTAAACCAGATGACTCGCTGCGGGGATGAGCTGAAGTTGCCGCACTGTCGACCTTTGACCGCTTCTTAATCTTTCCCCCAAGGGCCCGTCGGTACAGAGTCTCCCGAACAGAGGGAGTCCGCCCTTCAGGGGGAACCTTGTTTAGCTCATTCTGTAAATAAGTCTACAGGAAAGATTTAAGTGAGGCCGAACTTGCTCTTGTTGTTAGAGATGTAAATACTGACTGAATTGTAACTAAGTTGGGAACGAATTTATTCTACCAATATCTCCTCGGTTTCTTGGTCATCCTTTCCCTTGCCTTGTGTGCGACTGGAAATCCAAATCTCCAGATT